TGTGTGTGTGTGTGTGTGTGTGTGTGTGTGTGTGTAACAGCCTTAGCCAACTCGCGGTTATTCGTCCTGGCAGGAGCACAGACTATTCTCTCCCTCATTATGGCAGGAAAGGTGCATTCCAACTTCTTCACACTGTACAACCAGTGTAATTGTCTATGCAACCATACACAAATGTGAGCCCCCTCTCCTCTGATTGTGATTTCCCACAGTTCATATGCTCTCCCACTCACACACCCACTCACACTCTCACACACAGGAACAGAGCCACCCTCCCACTCACAATTACAGCTTGGACGCATTCACTGTTTTTATTAGCAGGTCCGGGCAGATTGCGAGCACAGATGCATCTCTTGGATCTTGGTAACTGGGAGATTTTCTACGAAAGATGGTGACAACAAATCATTTTCAACAGATTTCCTGATACATGCTTTTTCAGGAACTAGATCTTAACACCACAACTCAAATTTTAATTGGTCAAATTGACCTTTTAATACCAAAAAAGATCCCCACACATGTTTATTTTCTCTATACATCAGGAAATGTTAACATGTCTGCTGCAGCTTGTTATTGTAATCTCCACTTAACAGTTTAATTTATGAGAAAACCCTCTATCTAATTGATTTAGTTAATGAGTAATCCCTGTGAATAAACTGCCACCTTTGCTGTGGTTTCTACCATCTGACTGACACACACGCACAGCATCACCCACTCGTTTCATACTCAAAATGATAATACAATTCTCATCACATTAATGCCACAGAACAGGGCTTCTTCCCTCTCTGCTCTCCTCTCTCAATCTGTTCTCCTCTTCTGTTCAATCTTATCTTCTTTTATTTAACAATAACACTGTGTGACGAGTTTTCTCCTTTTACACTCAATATTAGCACTGTCCGACTGTTTAGCATCAGTGCAAACATATTGTACATGGTATCACACTGCAGCTGGAAGTGCACGTGTGTCACAAACCTATCGATTACTAGAAAAGCTGCTGATTAATTTCCTTTCATTTAATAAATTTTTTACTTGTTTTGTCTCTTTTTTAGTGATAACAACTCTTATAGGGCTCTGTGGAACTTCACCGGAAATTATTTTCGGCAAATTTGCATTTTCTGTTGTCTGTTTGCATCATTTTCTGATTCACATTTGGAATACTTTATTGTCCATTAGATCTGAATGAAATGTAAATGTCCTTGGCTCTAGCATTTTTGGTGTTTTTATTAGTCATGTCGTGTTACTTGAAGTCAATATGAGTGTGTCAGTGGCCCTTTTGCATCTCTTTGTGTTGGTTTTGTGTCTTTTTCTGTGACATTGCGCCTGCTGCCTGTTCACAAATCCATCCATATGTCACAAAGAGTGAAAGAGAAAGAGAAGAAAATAGAAACAGTCCATATATAGAAACTGACAGCATGAGAGTGTGGAAAATGGCTGACTTAGAGGACATGATTGTTCCTGTGTTGTTACCACGGTGACTAATTGGATACTAAACTTATTACAGTATAGCATGAAGAGTGTGGGCGACTCTAGAAGAGTGTGAAAATGTAAAGACAAGAGTGTGTTCAAAGGACTTGTATTGAAGTGACAGGTATACTGTGCGAGTGCTTACTCCACCAGTCAGGGATACAAGAGAGAGATCAGGAGGGATTAATGTAGCTTCCAATTATAGTGCGTGTGTTTGTATTCTCTCCCTCTTTCCTCTCTTTTTCTCCCTCCATTCTCCCCCTCCCATATAAGAGCAAATGGCCTCTGTCCCTTTCTCTTTCCTCTAAGATCTCAGTGACAGGGGGATTTTCGTAACCTCTTTATTAAGATTGCTGTTATTTGTCACTCTTGAGACAGCGCAGGAGAGAGGGATGGATGGATGGATGGAGGGAGGGAGACAGGATTGGATAAAACAGGCAGAAAAACAAGGGAGCGAGTGAGAACAAAAGAGGTTTGATAGGGCATAATGTGCAGAGTGATTTGAGTTAGAGGATAATTTAAAATAAGGGAACATGTGGAAATAGGAGAGGGAGAGGGGAGAGGTGAGAGCGAACACACATCGGGAGAGATTGTTCAAGGAAGAGAAATTGACATCATCCATCTAAAACAAGGAGGAATTAAATAACATCCACACACACACACACACACACACACACACACACACACACACACACACACACACACACACACACACACACACACACATACACACACACTCACAGCCACACACAGCCACAACACACAGCCAGCGTCATAATATCATGCATCGTCTTCTCTTGTGTTAATGTCACAGCCCATTAAAACCCTTTTGACCCCGTTTGGCTGATGTCCTCGCCCACACACACTCTCACATGTTCGTGCTGCACGTCGCTGACGGAGGGACAGAAAGAAGGGAAAGTGAGGAGTTTGGCTGCGGGTTTATTCGACAAAAGAGCACATTTCAGCACTTAAAAGGAGAGATTCCCTCAGATAAAACACATTAAAACACAGACACAATTAAGGGAACGTTTTATTGCTTCAGGCAGGATCATATTAACCTACATTGACTCGATACCCTGTGGTGACATTTATACGAAATTGAAGGAGCCAGACTCCTCTGGGGCCAGAGAACAGCAAGACTACTTTACTCTGAACTTCACTTCACCTTCTGTTCCCTAAATTATTCTGAGGCAGATGAATTGTCTTCCACATGACAGAAACAGGAAGAGTTCTCAAATTAAGAGGAGGTGTTTGAGGATGGAAAATAAAGAAAGAGAAGGAATAAGATTTTGATTAAAGCTCTGGGATTATACATTATACTCGCTCTCAGTCTTAACCTTTGTGACCTTGAGAGTCTTGATCTGACTTACTTACTCTGCACACTTTATGCTTTGTCAGAAATGACAAACACACACACACACACACAAACACACACACACACACACACACACACACACACACACACACACACACACACACACACACACACACACACACACACGTTGTTAGAGTGTTTTATCAGCACTTTCATGCTGATGAAGCCACCATTCGATTTGATTCCTGCACTGTTCAGTGTGATCCAAGTTTCCTGTCAGCTGCTGACGGACGGTGTGTGTCTTCACTCTGTGTTTGGCAGGATGTTATCTTTGACTTTTGCAAGAGAGGACCAAGTCTAACTAAAGAATGCAATTCCTGAAGAAATTGCTAGTGGGAATGCTTTATGCTGAAAATATGACGCTAAACTGCTATGCTGAAATGTAATGTGTAAGAAGAAAGTGAATAATTTAGATTGAAATGATACATGAACACTGGGGGCTTGAATGTGTGATGAGAGAAGAAAAGAAAGTAAAAAGGCTTGGAAAAGCAGCAGAATATCTGAACTGCAAACTTCTGAACTAACTTGATGGCGAATGATCTGTCTCCATGGCAACGGCATTTGATGACACCCCATAATACGCTTAGATGCGTTGATGGCTGCATCGTTACCAAACCTGTGAAGTTCTGGGCTGTTTGGAGTATTTTCACTGAAGTTAAGAGAAAACCGTGTTTCAAGGCGAGCAATGTGTTGCCATGGCAACGGCATTTGAAGAAATCTCAAAACTGTCCCGGAGATGTCTTCACGGCTGGACTGTTTGCACACTGCTCTCTGAAGTCTGCTGCTCTGAGCATGTCAGCTGGAGCGATGACATCATCGTGTTCCATTTACACAGGTGTTTNGTCAGCTATGTTCTCTTCTAAATGTGTAAGATTCAGGATCATACAGTTCAAAATTCTCAATAGAGCTTACATCACCCCTGTTACAAAATCCAAGATGGACAATAAACACAGAGACTTATGCTGGCATGAATGTGGCAAGCGAGGTACATTGTTGCATCTACTCTGAGAATGCCCAGCGGTAAAAAAACTTTGGTCAGAAGTAATATCCTTATTGTCTGAATCTTTAAAAGTTAGTTTCCCTACATGTCCCATTGCATGTCTACTGGGTCTCAAGCCAGATGGCAATCTTGCAAGGACTACCGATCGGCTCTGGACATTGGGCTGTTTAGCCACAAAAAGACTCATCCTATTAAACTGGAAGGAACGCAAACCAGCCTGCTTTACTAGGGACTCATGGCTGAGGGAGTATCTGGACCTACTGAACATGGAGCGTGCAGCTTCTCTGCTGGGGGATTTTGAGGGGAGACAGGAGGATTGTGGTTCACTGTCCGCAGCTCTCCTATCTAACCCTGTCAATATGGCATCTCCTGTGTAATGTATAATGTATTGTGTCTGTAATGTCCTGTGTATGTCATAATCAGCTGTCTTAGGAAGTCATCCTTGCATCCACCCTCCCCCCCCTCCCCCGTTACGTTTTGTTTAGTTGTTTGTTGATACATGTTTTGATGTACGGTTTGCTATCTGGAGCAATGTCTGTTTTATAACTGAAAAAAATATATATATAAAAAAATAAATAATAATAATATATCAATATTGACATTACATGTGTATTATAAGGCTGTGATTAATGTTAGATTCAATTGCACAACAACCCTTGGTAAGATTGCAATGTCTTGGGGGGATTTCTAAAGATTACAAATGGAGAAATGTGTGTACTGTTTGCTCTGTGGTTTTCTATTGACCGTTCCACAGTCCAGATTAAAAACAAGAGGTGATTGATTTTTTTCATCTCCAGAGGAGCCCAGGCTGGCTTCTTCTACTTCAGCTTTATAGACTTTTTATTTAGTTTAAACTTTATTACAGAGGCTGACTACAAGTGTATCATCACATTTTCAGCCTTGCTCAGCTCTTATGTAGTTACCATTATTGCTTTTGTTGCTTCTTCATTTTATCTGTTTATAATCCACAATAAACAACCTTCTATTGAGTTCTGGTAAGATAAAGAATGTTGTTGCCTGTGCTTTTAACTTGAAGTCTTACCTCTTTCTGCACGCCTTAAATAGAGGCACTTGAGTTGATTTGAAGCAGAAGAAGGTGTTTAGAGAGTTAAGTGGGGTATTTAAAAGTGAAATAACGTCTCTCCTTCTGTCTCTTTGTACCTAAAGGATTCACGAATCTCTGCGCCAACCCAGTAGAAGTCAGTAGAGTCCAGTGAAGGACCGACTGCATCGATAGAAATGGCTTCAACAGCCATATCTCCATCCTCTCTCACCTCCCGCCTCTCCTCACCCCTCCTCCTCTTCTTACTCTCTGCCTTCCTCTTCCTGTCCTGTCCCGGATCAGTGGACGCGGCTGATGCAAACTGCTCAGCTGCTGGAGACCAGTGTCAGGAAGGTGAGGAAACGGCATCGTATCATACAGTCCCTCCACAGCTTAATAGAGTGTATATTTCTCTTGTGGTACCAGTATATTCATCTAATGACTCCTTTATTTCTAAAATAGCCTATAAATACCCTCCTGGCATTAATTGCCGTACATTTTGCCAGCTCATTCTGTGCAAGCTGTCCAGAGGCTAACAGGAAAGAGATTTATTTGAGGGTTGCTAATGCACACTGAAAGGCCAACTACGATCTTTTTCATCCTGGAAAAAACGCTAATTTCTTTGTAATGTCACTGCCATTGAGCCCTTTTCGTAGCAGCAGTGTTGAATATTGGAGCAGTTAGAAATAAAAACATGGGAAAATAGGATCCAGGTTAAAAAACAACCATTAAAGTTGAAAAATATGAGCAGAATATTCAAAGTTCACACAAATCAGGATGCCATACCACACAATGGGGACAGTGTTTCATGGTCTCCTGAGTTCAATGTACCACTGGTGACTTACCAGCTGATTGTGCCGGCTTACTGCCTTTAAACTGAAGCACATTGATCGATTTTAATATGTTTTATCAAGACAAATGATACATCTTCCACTTATTACATTCCTTAATCAGGTTATACTGCCACTGAGCTTTTTACAAGATGCCCACAGTGGCAGACTGTACAAGATTAAAGAGGGAAAGGGATGCAACCTAATATATGTGATCCTTTCCTGCATAACCTATTCTGATATCTTCCTTTTTGTGATGTTTCAGGAGTGGTGCTGCCCGTGTGGAACCCTCAGAACCCCTCTGTGGGCGACAAAGTGGCGCGGGCCATTGTTTACTTCGTGGCTCTCATCTATATGTTCCTGGGCATGAGCATTATAGCGGACCGGTTCATGTCTTCTATAGAGGTAGGCAAGAGATAAAAGAGCACACATTGGTTTAATTTTTCTCCTGATAGTATTACATCTCTTCATTGTAGTAATTAGTATGTATGTGAGTTATCAACAGCTATGGGAAATTCAATGGATCTAACCTCACTCACAAACTGTCCATCGCTATGACAATTTCTCTATCTGTGTGACCTTGACTACTGTAGCTTTTAAAAACCCAAACTCAAGCTTTTTGTATGAGTTACCCTTAATATAATAAGTTTCATGGCTCATTTTACTCTAACATATATATATATTTTCTTTCCCTATTACTTCCTCTTATTTTCATTTAGTGGATCCCTCGCTCTTCTTTCATTTCCTTGATTTTCGTTCCTTTACTTCATCATTCTCCTGTCTTTTTCATTTGGTGCAACCTATTATTTTCTTACCTTCTCATTCCTCTCCTCTCCTCTTCTCCGCAGGTCATAACCTCCCAGGAGAAAGAAATCACTATAAAGAGGCCGAATGGTGAGACCACCACCGCCACGGTCAGGATCTGGAATGAGACCGTTTCTAATCTCACTTTAATGGCCTTGGGTTCCAGCGCCCCTGAGATACTGCTGTCAGTTATTGAGGTGAGCACATTATGAGCCTGCTGGTTACGCATTAGATTACCTGATGCACAGAACGTACTGGGAACACAGTAATCTGATTTTCACCCCGTCTATAGGTGTGTGGTCACGATTTTGAGGCCGGCTCTCTGGGTCCCAGCACCATCGTGGGCAGCGCTGCCTTCAACATGTTCGTCATCATCGCCCTGTGTGTGTATGTGGTACCCGATGGAGAGACGCGTAAAATCAAACACCTTCGGGTGTTTTTCGTCACGGCAGCCTGGAGTATCTTCGCCTACATATGGCTCTACCTGATTCTGAGTGTCTTTTCCCCGGGAGAGGTGGAGGTGAGAATATACAGAAGGCTACATAAGAGCAAAGTTTGGGAAGAAGAAGGTGTTAACTGTGTCTCCTCTCCTCTAGGTTTGGGAGGCAGTGCTCACCTTCCTCTTCTTCCCGCTCTGTGTGGGCCAGGCCTGGGTGGCAGACCGTCGCCTCCTCTTCTACAAGTACGTCCGCAAGCGTTACCGCGCCGACAAACACCACGGCATCATCATCGAGACCGAGGGAGGGCCGGATGGAGCCATGGGTATGTCCGGAGGAGGTGCCCTGGGGCCGGGGGGTTTCACCAAGATGGACATGCTGGAGCTGGACGGACAGATGGCGCTGAATTCTCACAGTGGGATGGACGGAGGGATGATGGAAGACGGAGCGAAGGACGGACAAGACGAGGCCAGGAGGGACATGGCGAAGACGCTGAAGGATCTGAAGCAGAGGCACCCGGATAAAGACATGGAGCAACTGATCGAGATGGCTAATTATCAGGTTAGAGGAGTGTGCTAATATTATAATTTATTCATATTATATATAATATATTTATAAGAAAAGGTTTGGGGAATATAACACTGGGAGGCCATTAGCTTAGCTTAGCATAACGACTGGAAACAAGGGGAAACAGGTAGCCTGGCTGTGTCCAAAGTTCAAAGAGACATTGTAGTCATTTTGAAAAGTGTATGTGAAGTTATGGTTTTATAGAAAGTTACATTTTTTATCTTTTATTAGCAAACAGCAGCCAGGCACAGCGACTTCATGGATAGCTTTTTGGACACAAAAAACCCCTCAAAATTGCCGGCAATATTACATTTGAAACATCTATTTCAATTTCATTAATCTGTAATCTAAACTGCGAATATGGCCCTTAATAATCCCTTACCATGTTAGTTTATATAAAGAACCTAACACCCCGGGAACATAAGCTTATCTTCTTCTTCATGCTAAGCTAATGGCTTCCTGGCTCTATCTCCCCTGCCCAAACACGAAAGTGGTATCAATTCCTATTTAAATCCCAGCAAGTAAAAGCATATTCACCATAATATCAAGCCTCTCTAAGACATACATATTTGATTTTAGTCCACAATTGAATATATTTGGATATTGCTGCTCATAATGGAGGCTCTGCATTTATCCTAAATGAGACATTACATCATGTCACACATTTCATATGCGACCCCTCTAGGGGTGACTGTGTTAGAGTTGACGCTTTGACACATTCAGTTGTTAACAAGGTGTTTTAAGTGATAGCAGGGATACAGAGAACATTTCAAAATGTTACAGAGCAACTTAAAAGGTGTTAAATAAATTAAACAACTGCCTACATGCACATGAAAGAAAATCAAAACCCAACTTTGCATACACACCAAATAAAAAGAACATAATATGGAGGCTATTAGAGTGTTGTCTAGATAAGTACACATATAAAGATACCAATACAGTTTTTCAGCCCCTCATGTAATGTCATGTGCTGATAAAACCACTAGTCTGCAGAGAGCATGTTGGCGGTTGGCTTGATTGACAGCCCTATAACAGACGACCCCTCTGACATCCAGGTGTTTTTTTTCGGGGTAAGTTGTATTAACATCAAATAAGTGAGCATGTAAGTTCCTCCATAGCTTGACAAAAAATTGTAACCCAAGGTCCACTTGTTACCTTTATTTGAGCTTACAGCTGAGTTCATATAAGACTTGGTCATGTTATTAACATTTCAAAAAGAGACAGCAAGTGGACCTTGTGTTAAGATTTTTTTTGGGGGATTTAGATATACCATGTCTTAAAATATATTGATAAGCCATGAAAACGTAGTGCTTTGTCCTACTTTTTACCTATGGTTTAATTTGGCATTAGTTTGGTTTAGATAGTCAATGTGGTTTTTTCGCATCCCTGGTAAAATAGAAAGCAGTCACTAATAAATGGTTTTCACACACTCATATCTTTTTGAATATTTGCACTCGCTAAAAACTATTTTTATAATCAAACTGGCACATTAAGGACTTGTCTGGTTTTGCACCCTTTGATGATGAACTGTGGAAGCTATCCAAGTCTCTGCTGCTCCCTCTTTCTCTACTTTCCTCTCTTCCTTCCCTTGCCTTTCCTCCACCATTTGTTGCTCCTGGTCTTTGTTTTTTTGGCAATGAAGGAGGAGAGGAAAGCACCCCAAGGTGCACTGGGAAATTGCCAGATGTTTGTTTGAATTCAAGCCTCCCTCCCTGCAGCTCCTCGCTCAGCATTTTTTCTGTAAATAAAAATAGCAGCTGGCCTGAAGAGTAAACTCAAGTGGACAAAATAAGTTCAGTGTGGTCTTAACGAATCTTTACATTGAACAGTAGTTCCCCATGGTGGAATTGGACTTTCATTCAATTAGACCAGCTAAACCTGATAACGTTTTTAACTAAACTTACAATTGCAGCTTACATCCCTCCACAGTGATGCAGATTTTATGAGAATTCTGAAGGGATATTGCCGGCTCTCTTCCCTTCAATTTCAAAAACTCAGTGTTCCTTTGAGGCCACATTTAAGCCAATGATTTCCACATCTAAAGTTAAATGTTCTATTTAGTTAGTAGTAAATCGCTAGAACGTGAAATTCCTATTCAGCCAGACACTTTTATTGAAATGTGTGCTTAGAGATTGATGAAGCCCATTCGATAAAATGTTTGCAGCGGAACAGTCTTGTGCATTGTTAACAGGGAAGTAAGGAAGCAATGTCACATTGTTCAAGCAAATGTAATCAAGGAAATATTTTTGGTTGGATGCCTGAAACATAGAATTGAGGCTTTTCATTATTTTAAAGGCCTTTAACTCTTTACTTCTGGCCATTTATATGTACAAAATCATAGAGGTGGTGTTCATCTGTAAACGTAATTGGTTGAACAAAACATGTAAGAACAATAACATGTTGTTGTCCTCAGTTTGCTTTTTGCAATAATCCAAAATCCAATGGAAAATCCCATCAAAGTAACCAGAGCTAACTTCTGGGTTGGCCCAAAATCCCTGCAAAGCAAAACAGTTATAAATATGAAGCTCCAACATCAATACGCGCAGGATCTAGGTCCAAACTTCAAGCACCCATTTTTTAAAAACGTCCTTCAGTAACTCTCTAATCCCTTGACTACTAATTTCCCTGAGGAGAAAAATTCCCAAAAGAGATTCACTGCTTAATCTTGAAATTGCAGCTTCCAATTCAAATGTGGAAGCTTTTATAGAAGGACATTTTCTTTGGAGGTGAAACAAAACATGATCAATACAATAGATTTGTTATTAATTGATTGGTTTTGTTGATCAGGTCCTGATGCAGCAGCAGAAGAGCAGAGCGTTCTATCGTATCCAGGCAACCAGGATGATGATTGGAGCTGGAAACATCCTGAAGAAGCACGCTGCCGACCAGGCCCGCAAGGTGGGATGCACATCATCTCCCCTCAGCACCACTATTTACAGATAAAGAACTCACATCTTAATTTGCTCCTGTCTCTTTTATTTCCAGGTGGTGAGCAGCAATGAGACGCAGGCGCAGGAGGACGACCCTCACACCATCACGATGGACTTTGAACCCGCTCTGTACCAGTGCTTCGAAAACTGTGGCTCCTTAAAACTGACTGTGGGCAGACACGGAGGAGACCCTGGAGTTACTGTCAAGGTGTGTGTGGTGTTCATGCAAGACTGAGGAGTTCAAAAAAATGACAAAAGACAGAGAAAAAATAAACCACAGAAATCTGCTCTGACCTGACCTCACTTGTTCTCATCTCTAAAAAAATTCAGACTGCTGGTAAATAACATAAATGGTTGATAAAGAAGAGCGGGGACACACATTACTAAACACCTTATTCTCCAGATCTGTTCAGGCTGTAAGAAAAAATACAAAACATCCATTAGGGAAGGCACATTGATCTTAACACTGGCCTCATACTCTGAATAACAGATGTTCTTTTAAGTCAGAGACAGAAATCTGTATCAGTGAAATGATCTGCATGTTAATACAGCAGGGGGCTTGCATGGCTGTGTCTCCTCTATTATTCTCCCATATACAAATAAAACTTCCTCGGAATAGATCATGCCCTATTAGGCAATGTTAATGGAATTGAAAGAATAATATGTGTATCCTCAGCATGATTCAGATCCAAAATGTAATGGGTTATCCCTTGGACCATGATACAATATCACGGCTGTTTTCTTTTACCGTAGTCCTCCTGAAAAAAGACACATCAAACCAATTCCTAACTTCCTTTTCAAAGGAGACTATGATGTAGCATCAGAGCTATCTTTAGAGGTCGGTTCATGGCATGGCTTCAGTCTGCCGTCCACTGAAACTGATTTTATAAAGTGAAGTGGCCTTTTAAGCCCACACAGGCTCTTCAGACAGCGTGTCAGAGCAGTGCAGACGCAGAAATTATTATTGTTACGTAAATGCTTTCACAATGTGATTACATGTACTTGATGCCGCACTTGAATCAGTCAAAAGCTGGACAAATCTATTAACATTCCCAGCCTTTTCATTATACAAGAAAAGTTCAAAGAAATATACTCATAAAAAGCATAGCACTTTTAGCACGAGGCAGCCATTCTAAAACAGCTACTTAGACATATCTTTAAAAACATTATATTTAAAGCTAACTGCTCATTTGAAGCTGCATTAAGAGACTTTGTGTGCCGCTTGTGCCGCAGCAGGAACAAGCTATAACATTTAAAAGACCTTTGAAGCCAAAATAGCTAATATGATGTAAAAAAGTGGGCTTTTTTGATATACAGCAGGTACGAAGAATCATTAGCTTTCATTCGTATCCACCTGATGGATTAAGTCCAATATTCAACTTCTTTAAGCACTGTTTTAAACTCCAAATATTCCCGCGAAAGATATGCATCTCTTAATCTGCTAAATGTCAGCGAGTACTTACTTTTGTTTTGCCATTTAGTTCCAAGCAGGCATTTACAGCTTCTTTGTATAGCTTTTTAGTTGAAAACAGCTGAATGTTGCATATTTACAACACAGATACAGTGGGGCAAAAAAGCATTTAGTCAGCCACCAATTGTGCAAGTTCTCCCACTTAAAAAGATGAGAGAGGCCTGTAATTTTCATCCTAGGTATAACTCAACTATGAGAGACACAATGAGAAAAAAAAAATCCAGAAAATCAAATTGTCTGATTTTTAAAGAATTTATTTGCAAATTATGGTGGAAAATAAGTATTTGGTCAATAACAAAAGATCATCTCAATACTTTGTTATACCCTTTGTTGGCAATGACAGAGGTCAAACGTTTTCTGTAAGTCTTCAAAAGGTTTTCACACACTGTTGCTGGTATTTTGGCCCATTCCTCCATGCAGATCTCCTGGCGGTCACCCGATGTTTAGGCGACGTCACGGTCTGCACAAGGGGAGCACGAATTTCGTCATGTACAGTCCGGGGCAGGACTTCAAACGATCTCTCGTAAATCTACTAAGGTCTTCGCCTAACCCCTCTTACAGGTATACCAGTCTACTTGGTTTTATCCTTTGAAAAACCATTTTTGAATTGATCTGCACAACCCCCTCCTCTTTCTTAGACGACTCAACGTAGGTTTCTTGTGGTATGGATCACGACTCTGTACCCCCACCTTTGTAGTCCGAAACCCGCAAAAAAGGACGTTTCCCTGGTCCTGCTGACTAGGACACACATTTCCTTTACATACTTACCCGGTACATAACACTCTAAAACTCACTGTTGGGGAGAGGTAGTCGTTCCCGTCAACTCTACCTTTGGCACCGACCCGAAAAGTCGTACTGTTACTTAGGTTTGTGTGGCTCGGGCCGCGTTGCTTCCTCACCGAAGCATTTCTTCGCTAAAGTTCCAGGACCTCACGGATCGGTCATTAGGTCTTAGAAGTTGGGGTATCTTTTAGACACCTCCCTCAACTTTCAGGCATCAACGCGGTCGCGCTGTCCGGGTTTTGTAG